GTTTATTGTAGGTACGAATTGAATTCATTCATTTAAGATACTTGATTACCAAATATCCAAGTATATCACACATGGAATAGTTTACCTATAAATTTTATCCCATTATAATATAATGAAATGGTAATTGAATGAATGATCTTTCATTTGCAGATATGCGTTGATATCCTACTACTTGGCACCAGGCTCGGATGTGCCTCCATTACCGCATGGCAATTCAAAGAACAACCAACTGGCATACGTTCGAAAATGTCCGAGTGAAGTGGTGAGACGTTCAAATGTTCGTGGTAGCAGTAGTGGGATGATCACGAAGGGTAGTGGTAAGAGGAGTGGAGGTGATCCAATGAACAGTGCTGACGGCAGCGCCAACAATAACACGGATTCATCGGCGAATATATCCGACATTGACGACAACACTGAGGTGAGTGAATATTTGCTTTTAAATCTGATTTATTTTATGTGTTGTTATGAGTATAAGTTATCAACTGAGTGCATATTTATCAGGTGAATGTGGAGGCGATGTCCGATGATGAGCAGATGAGCAAAGTGAATGTGACAAGTCCGGATAGTCAGGCAAAATTCTTTGCGATTTCCGATGAGTACGTTTATCAATTTCGTATTGTTTCATTCCTTTTACACCGTTTACTTTCAGCTATTTTCTTCGCGTATAACAATTGATATTTATTAATCTGTCACAAATTTGCACGCATCTAACAATAAGATGTATTTATCTATCATGTAAATACGATCGATTACTGTGAACTCGTATCGATGTAGCAAAGCACACACTCTTAAACATACAGATCTAGTTGAGACCCCTTACAGGCGTGAAAGTGAGTCTGAAAATCCGACCGGGGTCTAAATTCGAATCTAATTGAAGCTTACCTAAGGAACTGAAATATATCTCTTCAAGTAGGTGCATCCGGAGGGGGTTTATCATTAGCCAAACAGACTGATTTGCGTATGAAATTATTAAGTGATGAATACAAATACTGTATAATTAACCAATTTGAAGAGAGATGACCGAGCGTATAGCGCAACTAACAAGTGCAATACCGTTCACGAGAACGTTTATCGGTTCGATTAGCGTTCTACCGGTGGGCATTCTGAGGGCTGATTCGTTGTTAGTTGTCATTTTGTTTTTGTTATCATTAATATATCGTTTCTTTTCGAGTTTGTTTTGTTCTATTTGTTCTTTGGTTGAAAATTGATCACGTTGCCGTGATTCGTCAAATTGTAATCGAAAACTTTCATGCGATTACTGAAGCATATTGCTGAATCGCACTCACTTAAGAATGGCACTCACATAAGAATTGAGTTAGCGATCGAAACGCTTTTGCATTTGAATTATTGAGTTAGTGATAGTTTGGTGATGGAATTGAAGTTTTTGTTTTACGTGAGATCAACGAAGAATTTAAAGGGCCGTTGATGTACCGGTGAACCGAAGTGTACCACAAATAAATCTGACTGGAATTGGAGCACAAATGACATTCATAATCGATACGACGCGAATTGGACCCAGCGAACTGGGTGCGGACAATCTCGGTTCGTGATGCGGTATTTCAGTATTGTTCTGTCCGCGTATTATTCGTATGGTTTGTTGAAATCAGTTGAAGTGAGGTGATAATA